CACTTCTGATATTCTGTCTCTTTCTAATTCTTTTTTATCATCTGGATTTTTCGATGGCTTCTCTGATTTCCAGAGCTCTCCAATCATCCCTCTGAGATCATGGTCTATGTTGTTGTTCTTCTTAAAATGTCAAATTCCAAACGAGGCAGGGAATCTAATCTGATCTAGCCCCAAAATGGGACTGTACTTCCTGGATTAAGTCTGTACTGCTACAGTGACCTGGATAGTTATGCATACACCGTAAGGATAAAAGGCATAGACATATTGACATATTAACGATTTGGCTAATATCTAAGGGGCTCCCATAAAGGAGATGGGGATCAACCTATTCTCAAAGCACCTCAGAGCATGACAAGAAGCCATGGATGGAAACTAATCAAGGAGAGAAGCAACCTGGAACTAAGGAGAAATTTCCGGACAATGAGGACAATTAATCAGTAGGATGGCTTGCCTTCAGAAGCTGTGGGTGCTCCAACACTGGAGGTTTTTAAGAGGAGAGTGGACAACCATTTGTCTGAAATGTTATAGGGTCTCCTGCTTGAGCAGGGGGTTAGACTAGAAGACCTCCAAGGTCCCTTTCAACTCTCTTATTCCGAACAGAAGTACGTTTCTTCTGCCACCTTTTCAACTGGTGCAAAACACTGTTGATAAGAGTGATTTGGAAAGATTTGAAAGATATGGATAAGGTGCAGCACTTGTGTTTTTAATATTTTCATATTATTCTTTGGTAGGTCATCAAATAGAGGACTGCACAGCCAGCTTCTCCGACCAGCTGCTCCTTGGATATATTAACACCCAGGTACTTTCCTTGCCACTCCTCATAGTCAATGGCTATGCTGGATGGGGAAGCTGGACAATGATACCCAGCTCATGTGAACAACTCGGCAATGTGTGTCTATCACAATGGGGTATTGTGGGTCTCCAGATGCATCGTCTGCTCTAGGTAGCATTCAACACGGAGCAGCAATTTCATAACATGGCAGGAACAATTTAAAAAACAAACAAGCCCCACACATGGCATCATCAACTTGTTTATAGTTTGCATTCATTATACGGAGGGAGGGGGAGGAAGGAGGGAAGGAAATAGAAGAGAAGGAAAAGGAAAGAAAAAAGAAAGGAGGGAAAGAGGGAGTGAAGGAAGGAAGGGAGGGAGAGAAAAGGAAAGGAAAGAAGAAAGGACGAAGGGAGGGAAGGAAGGGAAAAGGAAAGGAAAAAGAAGGGAGGGAAGGAAGAAAGGGAAGGAGGGAGGGAGGGAAAAGGAAAGGAAAGAAGAAAGGAGAGAGGGAAGGAAGGAAATAAATGCTACATATATCCAACCAACATCACAACAACAAAAAAAAATTGGTATCGCACATGGGTACTTACATTTTACATTCAACAAAGTACATTGTGTTTATAATGCAACATTGTTTGCAACCACATGGACAATTAGGGAAGGAGAATCCCTTTTGGTAGATAACGTGTGAAACTTCTCTTCTGTTGGGCTAAACTACTCAGTTTTCTTGGGAAGAAGGATGCAAAGCATTTGGCTGACAAACTCAAACAAGGAGCTGAGCACAGCTTAGATCTCCACAGGGCATCACAAAATAATGACTTAGCTCGTACAACTTCGCACAGCATTGGAAACAAGGGTTGACTAGGTTTTATTAGCTTCCGTGCAACTCCAAAACCCATGCTCTTTGAAGCTTCTCTCCACACCCGCCCCTCTCTCTTGGCTACTTCTCTCGTTTGCAGAAGCTCTGCCAATTCCCACCCTGGCAAATGTTTGCGTTTCCCACTAGCGGGGCCATTAAAAAGGCCTTGAAAGTTTGCCCAAAGGCGTTCTTGCCGAGGGCTGACTCGAAGGCTGTTGACATTAGTTCCTCAGCAGGCTACATTTTCTGATGCTGAGCCACTGTCCCCTTTGAAGGAATGCGACCGTGTGTGCTTTCCCACTGCTCAGATTTATTTCAGCCTCTGTTTATCTCTCCCACCCCATTTCCCTCCTCCACTCCAGGCCACAGTTCTTGGGATCTTGCAAAGAGGTCGGTCTTGTAGCGGCGGAAGAACCAGAAACTTCGATTGTGGGAAGCTGCAGGGGTTACGGCTTTGCACAGCCGACATGATTGGAGTTGGGATGAAGGTGGCGGGGTGGGGGAGAGAAAAAAGGCTAGTTATTTTTTAAGATTCATCCACTGTGGCCCCACTTGTAGTCTCTGAGCTCTTCCCAGCCACCCGGTCAAAAACAGTTGCAAAAAAATCATGACCTCTTCCCCAAAGCTCATTGTGTCACTGAGTTGGCTGTAGGCTTACATTTGTGTGACCAGGATTTTAAATCATATCCAGTTCCCAGAAGGACATCCCAGCTTTGACTGAGTCACCATGGCAACTTGCCAACCCAATGCTACTGAATATATATGTGGCCCAATGGAACAGTTTTGTGATGTTGCATGTGGGATTTAATAGCCTCATGAGAGCCATTATCTCTTTTGCGATGGTAATGTGAAGGTTGAGTTTACATTACGTTTACTTGAGTTGAATTAGCCAACTAACTCCGGGGATTAGAGCATAGGTCTCCAAATTTGGTAACTTTAAGACTTGTGGACTTGAAGTTGAATCCACATGTCTTAAAGTTGCCAAGTTTGGGGACCGCTGGATTAGAATTTTGCCTAGGATGACATACACTCCTGCTGGTCATTCAAGTCGCTAAAACTGTTGACTGTAGAATTAACTAACCCTTACCTCTAGCAAGACAGGGATCCTAGAGAGACATAGGGCCTCTCTAAGCACTCTATCTCTATGGATATTTTGCTTTCACACATCTCCTTCCCAACTGAAAATAAATATATTGGGTGGGAGGAAGTGGATAGGAAATGGGATGTAGGCCCATTATTCTCCAATATACAGAGCTATTTCTGCATGGAAGAAGAGAGGCCCATTCTTCTTACCATTCTCTTTACTGGACTACAATTATTGTTGCTATAAATCATGGCCCATGTTAGCTAGATGTGGCTCGCCAATACAGGCAGTCCTTGACTTACGACCACAGTTGAGCCCAACTTTTCTGTTGCTAAGCGAAACATTTGTGAAGCGAATTTTGCCCGTATTTACCATCTTTCTTGCCACAACGGTTAAGTAAATCACTCAGCTGTTAAGTTAGTATCATGGTTACTAAGTGAATCTGGCTTCCCCATTGACTTCGCTCACCAGAAGGTCACAAAACGAGATCACATGACCCAAGGATGCAGCAACCGTCATAAATATGAATCAGTTGCCAAGCTTCTGAATCATGATCACATGACCCTGGGGGTGTTGCAACGGCCATTTGTGTGAAAAATGGTCAGAAGTCACTTTTTTCAGTGCTGTTGTAACTTTGAACAGTCACTAAATGGAACTGTTATAACTGTTATAAGTCAAGGGGTACCTCAGAGGTGGTATTCAGCAGGTTCTGACTGGTTCTGGAGAACCGATAGCGGAAATTTTGAGTTGTTCGGAGAACTGGCAAATACCACCTCTGACTGCTTCCCCCACAATCTATTCTCTGCCTCCCACTGAGTCCCAGCTGATCAGCTGGGTCTTCTTTGGTTGCCCTGCACAGGAGAATGGAGCTGGAAAGCAGGTTAGTGGGGTGGGGAGGGAATGGGATTTTGCAGTATCCTTCCCCTGCCACGCCCACCAAGCCATGCCCACTAAGCCATGCCCACCAAGCCACATCCACAAAACTGGTAGTAAAAATTTTTTGAATCCCATCACTGGTCACTACCTGTATTAGAAACCTCAAGTTTCCCATCAAAAAATATTCCTCCCCTCTCCTGGGAATTGATTTGCTCTTCCCACCTGTTTAGTCCTTAAAACTGGAATTAGATTGCCCTCCAAAATTTAACATTCATTTACTATTACATAGCTTTTTTTAAAAAAAAAAATACCTTTCCCTCTTTTCTACTCTTCCCGAAAGATGAACAACAGTTTTGTTTCGGTTTTTACCTGAAGACTAAAATAAAAGACAGCATTTCATAATAGATTCTCCTTCTTTCTTTCTCCAAAATCTCCCTGTCCCACATCTCCCTTTTTTTTTTTTTTTTGGTTTATATTTTTAGCTCTCTGCCATAATTGCCTCTTCCTTTAATACCAAATTGCATCTCCCAGTTTAAAATAAGAAGCTCAGTTTCCTTTTCCACGTCAGAAAAAGAAAAGCTTGCATTTAGGATAAAAGAAAAAATGCGACCCATTTATCTAAAGAGGATGTTCTCAAGATGACTCAGCCAAATATTCCCCATTCAACAACAGTTCTTTACAAAAGGGGAAAAAAAAACCCACGTCATTTTCTTTTAACTACGGTATCAGTGTGGAGCCTTGACGAACCTTAATTTTTTTCCCTATTCAGCATTTTCCCCGACATATTATACCAAAAATTACTAGAATCTCTAACCAGCACAAAGGATTCCAGAACTTTAAAAAGTCCAACTCATCAGAAGATTCCCAGGCTAGGAAAATATGGCTTTTTCCCCCTCTGCAATTCATATATCAGGGAATAGTCAGGTACTTTTGGAGTTGAAAATATCATAACAAGGGTAGGTAGCCATAACATCACATCAAACATCAATTCAATTCTGACTAGAGCTGGAAGGGGCCTTGGAGGTCTTCTAGTCCAGCCCCCTGCTTAAGAGTCCAGCCCCCTGCAGGAGACCCTATACCATCTAAGACAAGTGGCTGTCCAGTTTCTTCTTAAAAATCCCCAGCGATGAAGCAAAACTTCAGAAGACAAGCCATTCCTCTGGTCAATTGTTCTCACTCTTAGAAAGTTTCTCCTTAATTCCAGATTGGTTCTCTCTTTGATTAGTTTCCATCCATTGTTTCTTGTCCTGCTTTCAGGTGCTTTGGAAAGTTGCTCTCCACCCTTCTTTGGGGCAGCCCCTCAAATACTGGACTATTGCTATCATGTCATCCCCAGTCTTTCTTTTCTCTAGACTAGAATATCCAAATTCCTGCTTTAGTCTCCAGGCTAAAACACCTTAGCTGCTCTTCCCTGCACTTGTTCCAAAGTCTCAATCTCTTTTTTACAATGTGACGACCAAAACTGGATGCGATGTTTCAGGTGTGGCCTTACTTAGGATTTATAAAGCCATACTAATGCAACCAAATATATCCAACTTGCAATTCTGTGTTTGGGTAGAATGACTGAAGAGATTTGTTTTTTGTAAGCTTGGCATGTAGAGAGGTGTTCAAGCACAAACAGTCTTGGACAAAGCAAAGCGCTATTATGAAATCAACTTGTCTGGTCTGGAGTAGAAATCCCCAAGGTTTGGGGAAGTCATTGGATCCTTTGGGTATCTTGAAAATCTGATTGCAAAATGTCTTTTGGTGGGGAAAAGTGTCTATTTGCAAAGTAGCTATTAGGAGATATAATCAGTTCTATATATGATATATTACCTTTATTATTTTTACAAATAACTCAAGATGCGAACATGTCCAACACACATTCTTTCTCCTATGTTCCCCACAATAACAAACCCTATGGGGTGAGGTGAGGCAGAGAGGGACTGGCCCAAAGTCACCCAGCTACCTTTCATGCTCAAGGTAGGACTGGAATTCACCATCTGGTGATTGGCCCAGCTGATTTTCATAGCCGAGATGGGATTTGAACTCATGACCTCCCACTTTCTAGCCTGGTGCCTTAACCACTAGACCAAACTGGCTATTACAAGGCATCAGCTTCAAATCTACCTGCTACTTAGTCCCTTCTCTTGGCTTATTCCCCTGCTTATCACTGCCTTTTGTCTGAGCAAACGGGCGCAGTTCCAAGCAAAGGATTGGATTGATTTCATCATCGTTTTTATGTCTTAAAATAGCTTTTAAGTTTCATTCAGGTTCCAGAGGCTTATTTGGAATCACAGTTGAAGCAGAGAATCTGGTTGTGGCCAAGCGAATGTCTATATATATGCACAAACTTGCTTCTCTGGGCACCATGTTGAAAAGCTAGATGTAAGCCACTGATGCACAATAATCGGCGTCTCAGATTGGCATCTGTTTGGAGGGAGTTCCTGCCGCTTCCAAAATGCATGTTTTGTGTTCCACCCCGTTTCCATTCATGGCTTCCTCCATCTTTGAGGACATCTTTCGGTGATGAGAACTGGAAATAGAGCCCCTTTGGAAAGTGGAAAGTCGCCTACGGAAATTACCTCCGGAAAAGTAATAAAGAAGTGGGTTGAAGCAACAGTTGAAGGCTGCAAGGGAGTAGGTTATCACCACGGATTTCTGCATGTAGAGGCTCTTCTCACAGGAAGTCTTGTCTTTCATCAAGTGGAGGTGAACCGTACGCTGGACGTGATACGGGGTGAAGCTCACGAGAAAGACGACGGTCACAATCACAATCATCCAGATGGCCTTTCGACGAGTGCCTTCTTTCTTATGCATGGAATTCTTCAGGAGCTTGTTTAGGATCATGGCGTAACAGATGGTGATGGTGATGAAAGGAAAGATAAAACCGATGAACAACGAAATGTAGTGGAGAACCATCACCTTCTTCACATCTTTGCTCTTTGGAGGCTCAAAGCATTTGGTTATATTTTCATCAGATAACTGGCCATTTTTCTGCAAAAATGGGGTGGTAGTCAGGGTTACAAAGAACCAAATGCCAACGCAGACCATGATGGCTCTCTTCCGGGAGATAAATTGGATATTCCAGATGGGGAAAACAATGGCAATGCAACGGAAGAAGCTCATCGCTGTCATGAACAGGATGCTACAGTACAAGTTGACATACATGGCGTAGGAGCTGATCCGGCACAAAAAGTCACCAAAGAACCAGTTGCCTTTGTAGTGGTAATAGACCACTCGCAGGGGGAGAGTACATACAAAGAGAAGGTCTGCAATGGCAAGGTTGAACATGTATATCTGGAAAGCTGTCTTCTCCTGGTATGTCCTTATGAGGACACACAACACGAAGCCATTTCCCACAAACCCCAGGATTGAGATGATGGAGTATGTCACGGGGTACACCTGACTCCGAAACTCGTCAATGGTATCATTGCATGACATGTTTTTCATTGTGTTTTCAGAAGAAGCCATAGAATCACACTCAACTCCTAGAGAGCCAAAAAAAAGGGGGGGGGGAGAGAGAGAGAGAAGATATAAGAAACTCAGAATGCTACCAAACAAGAAGGTCAAAAAACCGACTTCTTCTTAAAGTATTGGGAGAACGAATGGCAGAACCTGGGGGAGGCGTGAAAAGAGAGATTAGCCTAGAATCCTTATGTAGCCACAAGTGAATTAAGTCTAACCCAGAGGTGGTCTTCAGCAGGTTCTGACCAGTTCTGGAGAACTGGTAGTGGAAATTTTGAGTAGTTTGGAGAACTGGCAAATACCCCCTCTGAATGGCTGTGCCCCCATCTATTCTCTGCCTCCCAAATCCCAGCTGATTGGCTGGGTCTTCTTTGGTTGCCCCGCACAGGAGAACGGAGCTGGAAAATGGGGTAGGGAGGGAATGGGGATTTTGCAGTATCCTTCCTGTACCACACCCACCAAGCCACGCCCACCAAGCCAATCCATGCCCACCAAGCCACGCCCACAGAACCGGTAGTAAAAAAAAATTGAATCCCACCACTGGCCCAATCCCACTTGAGTGCTGTTGACCCACATGTGAATAGCAATAGCATTTAGATTCCAAGAAGGTGCTAACCGTTAGTTGAGAAGATCGATTCAGTTTAATTGAACCTTCATGGTGATGCAGTGTTTAGCATGCAGTATTGCAGGACAACTCACTTCCAGAGGTTTGATCCTGACCGGCTCAAGGTTGACTCAGCCTTCCATCCTTCAGAGGTTGGTAGAATGAGGGCCCAGCTTGTGGGCGGCAATATGCTGATTCTGTAAACATTTTTTAGAGAGGACTGTAAAGCACTTTGAAGCAATATATAAGTCTAAATGCTATTGCTATTCACATGTGGATCTGGTTTTTTTGTGGACAGTCATGTACAAAAAAAAAGTGATATTCCAAAAATTTCTTAATGAAGGAGAATTAGTCCTTGATATTATGTTCGAAGTTCAAATATGTTTCTCTTCTAGGGTGCAAAGAAACAAAAAAAAAAAAAACCAGTGCAAACTCCATATGACGTCAGGAAGAGCATCCAGCCAGTAAATGCTCAGCTCTAACCAGTCATCCCAACTCTATCTGGAATAGGGACTATAGGGTTGTAAAAAGGGAGGGTTTTTATGTTCCAAGTAGACAAAAAAATAAATAAATCAGTGAAGCTCTTGTGATATGTGTTCCTGACCTTACCTTAGTGACAAGGTGGTTGATGGATTCATGCAATTGTCTAACTTTCCCCGGTTATCTGCAGCCTCCCTGGCTCTTCGTGAGGCAGTCCCAAGGTAAATTATCAAGGCAGCCAGGGAAGATGCAGAGTGCAGGTTTATCCGTGAATTGCGACCAGTGGCTTAGCAACCATTGGAAGTTACAATCTACTTGGAAAAAAGGGAACTATGACCCAGAAGTTCTGATGAAATTCTTCAGCCCAGTTTGCAGTAACTCACAGTCACGTGATTGTGTTTTGTGACAGTTTTAGTTACTTCTGGTTTTTAGCCAAACTGTGCCACCCAGTGAACAATGGGTTTGCTTAATAACTGTGGCATTCACTTAACGTCCACATTGCTCACTTAGCAACTGCTACAAAAAAAAGGTCATAAAAAAATTGGACTGTCACATGACTGACCCAATTTACGGCCATTACCATATACAACCATAATGGGCAGACTCCATTATGGTTATATGTCAAGGATTGTCTGTAAGAAGAAAAAAACAAACCCAGAAGATAGAAGGAAATACGGTGGTCCTGTTCAGAAGCTCAGAAATATTGGCTTAAAATTAAACAATGGCTGCAAAAAATTCTTAAGGAACAAGTACAATTGGACCCAAAACTATTTCTGTTAGGGATATTCAAAAAGAAACATGGAAGAAATATAAAATATATTGTATTACACATCTTAAAGGCTGCTAGAATAGCTTTCGCTCAATGCTGGAAGCACAACTGTATACCATCGGATGAACTGATTATTCAAAAAATAATAACGTGCTGAAATGGACAAATTGACCTTAATGGTACAAGAGAAAGAGGAGTCTGAATACTGTAGAATTTGGGGAAAATGCTATAATTGGATTGAATTTAGACAGATAGAAAAAGAAGAAATTAAAGATAAGCAACCTATAGATTAAATGCATATATTCACACAAAATTGTATATATTTGTAAATATGCACAAAAATAGAAATGGACAAAACTGTTAATGTCACGATATTTATTTTTTGTTTTATTTTTAAAATATACCAAAGACTAATAAAGTTTATTTAAAGAAGAAGAAGAAGAAGAAGAAGAAGAAGAAGAAGAAGAAGAAGAAAACAGTACCAGTAGCATCACTTGCCCATTACTGGAGATGAAATGAGCTCAGACTATCATCCAAAGACAATCTAAAGAAGTTCTAAAGCCCGTGAAGAGTTTCCATCAAGGCTGCTTGTCAAAACAGTAGAGGAATAGCAAGCATTAAAGGGTTAATACTTTGTCCTGATTCGCGTATCTGCCAAATAAATGAATTCAACTATTTAATTAGAAGTTCCCCTAGGTATCAACTCCTGCCTTACATTCTGCATTGTGTCTAGTGTTTAATTTATTTCTATTGAAGACAATATAATGAGATAACCAGAAGGGGGCAATCCTGGCTAAAAAGGATTAGGCTAAATGAACTGGTGACGTTCAGATCTCAGCGAAAAGGCAACTGGTGCAGTATTAAATGGTGCAGAAATGAAAAAATTAACATTTGAAATTAAAGAAGGCACTGAATATTTTGAGGTATGGGATCTGTTCTATCATTGGTTAAATAAGAGAAACAAGAGTTAGAAACTTGAAGATTACAAGAGAAATATTAATCTCACGATCAGGGTTGTTTATTGAAATTTATCAATTGTGATTAATTTTGATTGGTTTTACTAAACAATATGTATCAATGTTATGAGGGAAAAGCACTGTTATCACAAAATTATCATTAGAGAAGACTGTTATTATGATTATGACGAACCAGTAACCAGGCAACACACTGTATATATGGATTTTGAACATGTTGCTCTTTCTTTTTATTTATATATTAATATTTTTTTTTAAATAATGGAAAGGGTACCCCTGGAATCTCAAAAGTGATGGTTAGATGACCTGAAACACTATCGATTGATGAAAAGTTAATGGCAAAGCCCAAATTTTGTAGCAAGAAAATCCAGCCTCTTTCCTTGTCATCTCCAGCTAAAGCCAAAAAAGATTTGTGTTAAAATCCAGGAGGTGGTGTAGAGTAGACGATGTCACACTAGATGAACTAATGTTCATCACTTTCCTTCCCTCCTAAATGTGCAGCTTATAATAAAATCTTTATTTCTTTCAAATATCCTGTATTAAGATGCAGATGAAATTGAGAACGTAATGCCCCACTAGAAAAAAGGAAAAGCATTCTTCGCTTTGGAAAACCTCAAAGAATACATCCTAAATTGCCATATTACTTAGAAAGGAATCAAATAGTTTAATGAATAAGTTTCCAGACCATTTCAAGTAGCTGTATTGCATAGAAAAAAATGGGAATATTAACCCTACACTTGATTATTCAGATATCTCTTGACTGAAGATATATCTTTCACAGTTAAGTGTATCTACTATTTCAGACTCTCTCAAATCCTATTACTGATTGCCAATTCATGGCCCTAAACTACATAAATTTATATACTATTAAAACTTGCTGCCATGACCCTTAACTGGGCAGGAGTATATCAAAGGGCAACACTTTTGGAACCAAACTATCTTAAATGGGCTAAGCCTAGAGGTGGAGCTCTCGCCTCACAATCAGGCGACCGTGAGTTTGATCCTAGGCAGAGGCCAATATTTGGAATAGACTCTCTGGCTCCAGCTAGGGGGTTGGACTAGATGACCTCCAAGGTCCCTTCCAACTCTGTTATCCTATGAAATCTGGGAACCGTGACTCCAGAAGGAAAGAAATTTGGGGGCAATTTTGGTTGCTTCGGTGACATTGGCTGCTCCTGCGCTGCTGCTCTTCATTTCAATGTTCCCTGACAGTTTCCAAGCCAGTCTCACAATCCCTTGCTCCCTCTCTTACCCAGAAGCAGCCACTTGCCTGCCTGATGGGAATGAAGGGAAGGGAAGAACGGGAGGTTTCTGATGTTCCCAGCCAGATTCCCAAAAGGAAACTCAGTGAGAAATCCAGCAGGAACTCAGAAGTCTCTCCTGCTCCCGCTGTTTTTTTTGTCTTCACCCGCCTGTGGCCATTCTGTTTCTCCGTTTAAGTAAGGAAACATCTCTGACATGGTCACCTAATGGGACACAGATAGTCTCATCTCAACTATTTGGAAGAGAGAGCACACCGACTGTGACGTCTTGAAACTGGAGCATGCACCCAAACGTTACCCAACATTGTTTCTTTAACAAAATATCAGATGGTCCACGCTTCCCTTTGTTACTTATAAAAAGACTGTTGGGGAAACCTACCTGAAGCGCAGATGGAGGCACTGATTTAAATCCAAGGATTGAGCTAGCCACGGACAAATACACCACGAATCACGTATAGATGGCAAGGGTATAGTCCAGGGATGGCGAACTGTTTTGTTGTAGCGTGCCAAAAGCGTGTGCGTGCCAGAAACCACAATGCAATGCACCCTGCCCCCCCCGTGCGTGTGCGTGCAACACCCCCGCCTCACCCCTTACCTGCACTGTGCATGCGCGCACCTCCCAGCTAATTTACAGCCTTTTGAGGCCATTTTTAGCCCTCCCGGAGGCTCGAGGGAAAGCTGCGCAGGGAGGCTGAAAAAGGAGGCTTCCAGAAATACCGGAAGTGCCCGTTTTCAGCCTCTAGAGGGCCTCTGGAGTCGGGGGAGGCCGTTTTCGCCCTCCTAGAGCCTCGAGAGACTGAAAACGGGCCTGTTTCGGCACTTCTGGTATTTCCGGATGGCCCGTTTTTCGGCCTCCCATGGCTCTAGAGGCTTCCCTCAAGCCTCCAGGAGGGCAAAAGCAGCCTCAAACAGGCCTAAAATCAGCTGGAAGGCGCACGCATGCAAGTTTGCCTGGGACTTGCGTACCCACACAAATAGCTCTCTGTGCCACCTGTGGCATGCGTGCCATAGGTTCGCCATCACGGGTCTAGTCTGTTGAAGATGGGGCCACCGTTCAAAATTTGGGGACATAGAGTCCCTTGTATGAGGGGATCCTTGGTGCTTTTCTGAGCTTGGTGTTTTTCCTGCAGAGGTTTCATCATCCTTTCATCATTTCACAATACAAAGTGCACTGATGATGTTGCCTAGTTGGGTAATGAAACGTCTGCAAGAAAACCACCAAGCTCAGAGAGCACCAAGGACCCCCTCATTTCAACCCTGAGCTACAAATATTCCTCTTACTTCATACACTCTTTCCAAGCCAAACAACCATTCAGTTTCTACTCACATCCTTCTGAAGATTTCTGCTTTCTGAACTGAGATGAGGTCCTCCAGAAAGATGTGGCAGAGCTGATAACTGGACAAAAGGTCTCCAACCCTGTTCAAGAAAGAAAGAAAGAGAGAGAGAGAGAGAGACAAGGGGGAGGAAGAGAGAGGGAGGGAGGAAGAGAGGGAGGAAGGGGGAGGGAGAGAGACAGCGAGAGACAGAGGGAGGGAGGAAGAGAGAGGGAGGGAGGGAGAGCGAGAGAGAGCAAGAGAGAAAGGCAGTAAATATTTTTCAGTAAATTGGAGTCCCGGAAAGCGTCTCCCCCCACCCAGAATTACCGTTTTGAGATGTGGTTAAAGAATAAGTGCTCCTAACTACATTTTTCTAA